AAAGGCCGTACCTACTCCAACAAACCACATCTCCTAGGAATGCCACTGCCTATGGCTGTCCTTTTCTTTCAGATCACCACACGTCCACAGAAGAACATGTCTTTGGGGACAACCTAAATTCTGTGTATTGGGTCTTGATCATATATGCTTGGCTCAAGAATAAACTCTTGTTTCCTTTGAAGTGAGAGCTGCATGTTTTAATGAACATGAAGGGGCCTCATGATGAGGTTGGTGGTGTTAAAAAAGGTTCTCCCTGCTTCTCTCTCTGTGGCCATCTGCAAACTTAGAAGTCAGTCCTCACCAAGACCAGGACCATGCTGTGTCTCTTAGATTTCAGGCCTCAGAATGTGAGGCACAAAACTTTGATCCCTACATTAAAAGTGCTTTGTATTTTTTACTTCCCAGTAATTGACAGGTAACAAATAGTATAACTCTGATTCTAATAACTACATTAACTTCTCCCTCTCCCTGTTCTGGCCTTTGCTGTTCCTCAAGTTACCTCTGTCCACCAAAGGGGAAGTGAATCAGGAGGAAGCCTGTGTCTCTGATGCCATTGGGCTGCACATCCTCCACCTGGTTCTTCCCTGAGGATTGGTGTTTGGTTTTTACAAGGCTCTCCTTCTCACCTGGGGTTCCTCAATTAACTAGGACTTCCCAGAACATTCTTCAGCCCTAGGTTTGTAGAGTTTGGACCAGCCTCCCCTCACGGTCAAGGCTATATCAAGGCTGGAGTAGACATGAACACCTGTGTCCTCTGCCCTGCTGGGAGAGCACAGCCCTGCTCCTGCTCATACCTTAGAGCTGCTGCCCAGCAGCCCCAGCTAGTGGACCCAGAGGTGTGGGCCAGAGGGCTTTAGGAGGTTCCTGCTATTCAGTGGGGTGGGGAAGTGGGGAAAGCACATCCTGCTGGCATTTCCAGTGCTCTCAGGGGCGCCCTCTGCTGCCTCTTCAGCCTCTGTGCCTGAAGCCAGCAAGGAGACAGACCCAGGCCCCCAGTGGCCTCTGCAGAGGCTTCCTTGAAACTCTTAGGTTGCAGGATATTGATCACACTGTGAACCTCAAAATTGCATTATTTACTGGAATAACATGTTCTAGTTGTGGTGTGGCTAACCCTTGCACACGCTTTAATCCAAGTGCTTCTGCTTGAGTATTGTCAGCATGATTCAACAAAATCAACCATAGGTCATGAGGTGTAGCAAGCAACCAGTTGACAGGAAGTGAACATAGGAAAGAAAAAACCATAGAGATTAAGAGGGAGTTGGGAGAACAGATGGAGAGACGAACAGGAAGTAGAAGGGAGAGACATCAAGTTTGAGGGGTTTTGTTTGAGAGGGAAGCAGAGGAGGGAGGGAGTTTTCTCAGGGACATTGGCTGAGGAGGAAGGCCAGCTGAGTGCTCTCTCTGCCTGTCTGAGCTGGCAGGCTTCACCCCAGCATTTGGCTTCTTCCATTGGTGTCTTTATTGGTAAAAATCAAGGGATTGAGATTTAGTTAAAAACAACACCCTTCATTTTTGGTTTTTTTTTTTGTTTTTTTTTTTTTACATTTAGTTGTTTGTTTGTTGGGGTGGGGCAGGCAAATACATGCACATGTGGAGATCAGAGGACAGCTTGCTAGAGTTGAATTCTAAGAATTAATTTCAGTTTGTCTGTTCTGACAGCAAGCACCCCACCACTGAGCCCTCTCTCACCCCGTTGGTTTGTTCATGGCATTTGGGGACCTTCTGGTTGTGAAGGGATGGAATGCTGGTCATCTGGGATCTGGTAAACTCCAGCCTCACTGGAGGCCAGCAGTCCCCAGGTTCTCCTCTAAAGTGATGATGGGGTTGACACCAGGGTGTGGATAATTAGGCAGGAAGAAGAACCCAGCTCAGGGGAGAGATTCAAATGGATGCAGCAAAAAACCTCATTCATCAAGACAGGATCTTTATCAAAGTGATATTCACATGAAGTGACCTATTCAGAAGGGTAGAGAAAGTTGTATTAAGTACATAATCAAGGTTTTGTATCCCCACAAAGAAAACCCCACCCTTACTGACACTTGACTCTCTTTCTTCCCTGCCCTGGCCTCCAGCAGTTTGCCCTCTGTTTATACCAATCTGCTATTCTGGATGGTTGACATATACCTGATGATGATGATGATCATGATGATGATGATGATGATGATGAATGTGGTGGTGGTGGTGGTGAAGTGTGTCATTCTGTGCCTGATTTCTTTTACTTAGCCTCAACACTGTGAACCCTCCAACTCTTAGCTCCTTCTCCAGCACACTATCTGCTTGCACATCACCATATCCCACCATGGTGACAATGGACTAAAGCTCTGAAACTGTAAGACACTCCAGTAAAATGTTTTCCTTTATAAGAGTAGTTGTGGTCACCAGGCAGTTGTGGGCCCATGTTTTTAATCAAAGCACTTGGTAGGCTTAGGCAGGTGAATCTCAGAGTTCCAAGCCAGTCTGGTCTACAAATTGAGTTCCAGGATAGTTAGGGCTTCTCAGAAAAACCTGTCTAGAAAAACAAACCAGACACAGAGTTGCAGTGGTCATGGTGTCTCTTCTCAGCCTTAGAAACCCTAACTAAGACAGAAGTTGTACCAGGGACTGAAATATTGTTGTGATAGGCCTGATCATGCTTTGGTTTGGAGGAATTAGGACTTTGGGAGTTTGGGTTAGTAAAGCAGTAGAATGTTTTAAGTGCTGCTTAATAGGCCATACTAGTAGGAAGATGGAAGAGACAGGTACTGAGGGTTATTTGAACTGTGGGGGCTGGCTGAAGAGGTTTCAGAGGAGAAGAATATTTGTATGTGTCCTAAAGGTTGTTCTTGTGATATTTTGCTGAAAAATATGGCTGCTCTTTGCTCTTTTCCAAAGAGTCTTCCTGAGGCTAAACTAAAGAGATTTGGATTAATTCCATTTTAGAGGAAATCTCTAAACAGCCTAGTATGGACTCTGTTGTGTGATTATTAGTGATCATTTCCACACAGATCTACCATGAAAAGGAGCAAGGCAAGCAAATAAAAATACAAAATGTATTAAGAAATTACATAAAGGGCCTGGTGACCTCAGCGAAAAGATCCCACCCAGTTGAATTCCAACTTGTGAAATGAATTAAAGAAAAGCTTAGAGCAGGGTGTGGTAGTGCATGTCTTTAATCCCAGCACTCCAGAGTCAGAGGAAGGCAGATCTCTGAGTCTGAGGCCAGCCTGGTCTACAGTTCCAGTTTCAGGACAGCCAAGCTCAGGCAGTGAAGGTAATAATCAAAAGCAGAATGCAGGTGAAGATTGACTTGAACAAGGGGACCACATTCCAACCCAAGCAAGCAGCAGAAATTGGGAGCTTCAGCCCCGAGGTTCTGGCTTTAGAGTCAAGGATCCAAGAAAGGGGTCATGGAATTTGTCTCTGCATGTACGGAAAGCTGGTCCTCTGCAAGAGCAGCAAGTTCTGTTAACTGTTGAGTCATCGCTCCAGTCCTAAGAGTTCTTTAAAGATCCTGGCCTTTATGTAATACACGATTTGCAAGCATTTTCTCCCCTTCTACAGATTATTCTTTCTTTCCCTGACAGTGCCCTTTGATTCAGAAAATACGCTAATTTAGTGATTATCTACTCATCCATTGTATTAGTGGTGAATGTTTCAGTACCGTCAACCCAAAGACATTAGAATTACTTCCAACGATGTTTGCAGTTAAGAGTAGTATTGGCCGGGTGGTGGTGGCACATGCCTTTAATCCCAGGACTCGGGAGGCAGAGGCAGGTGGATCTCTGTGAGTTCGAGGCCAGCCTGGTCTCCAAAGTGAGTTCCAGGAAAGGCGCAACGTTACACAGAGAAACCCAGTCTTGAAAAACAAACAAACAAACAAAAAAAAACAACCAAAGAGTAGTATTGATCCTAGCTGGGAGGCACATGTCTTTAATCCCAATATTCTGAAGGCAGAGAGAGGTGGATCTCTGTGAGTTCAAGGCCAGCCTGGTCTACACGGTGAGATTGTCTTTAAGAAGAAAAAAAAAGGTATCTCTTCAGATTATTTAAGACAGTAATTTAATTTATTTCTGAAAGTTTAAATTAACAAAAAATCTGTGACAAAAAACCAACATTTTAAACACAGACAGCATGTGCCTCTCCACCCTCCCTGCTCACTTGACTCAAACACACTGGCTAGAAACTCCTTCACAGAAGAGGGGGAACTGTATTGTACTCCAAGCGCCAGAGAAGGGAGGGCACTGTCCCAGGGCAGCAGAGGAGTGATGGGCAAACCTTGTCAGTGAGGGATTATCCAAAACCTGAGCTGTGAGCACCTGAGGCTGGAACTGCCTGAGGAGGGCTACCTAGAACTTGCTAGGGGCAGGTCTGCAATGCTGTTAGGCATTATAAGCAAGTAATGAAACAACTCTAGGCAGGAGGATCGCAAGTTCAAAGTCCACCTAAGCTACGAAGGTGATCTCAGACTAGCTCGGGCAATTTAGTGAGATCCTAACTCAAAACTGGGGAGAAAAATGGGGGAAGGGTAGTATGTCAATGGTATAGCTTTTGACTAAGGTACCTGAGGCTCCAGGCACTGGCTCAGGGCTCCCATGCCTCCTGAGGGCCCTCTGGCCCAGTGAAGGAGGCTCAGGCCGGGAAAGGCTGGACCGCGGGCACCCATGTCGTCAGATGGCAAGGTGGACATTGTAGTTCAAACCTGAGCTGGGCACCTCTAGCCAGGTGGGGTTTGGTAGCAGGGGCAGCAGCCACCAGACTAGTTCTGGGCACCCCAGATGAGTAATATGGCCCGGGAGCCCAGGTGTGTCCTCCCATCCCCCTACCTCCTCCACTTTCCCTACCCATACCCACACCTACACCCACACCTCCCACACCCACCCTGTGTTTTAGGGGGCAGGCAGGTCTGGGCCCTGAGCTGGATAGGAGCCTCCAAAGCTACCAGTGAGCAATCAGGAGAAGGGCCCACGCCCCGCCCTCTTTCTCCAGCAATAATACCCACACCTTCCCGGAAGGCTTCAGTGACTCCCAAGAGCCCTGAGCCTGTGGCCTTTACTCTGCAGACCAAAACCACAACCATGTCACTGCGAGACTGCCAGGTATGCGCACCCCCTCCACTGCGTCCTCCTGGGACCGGGAGTTGGTCCAGGGCCAAGCAGTCGGGAGCAAACCTGCTGCTGGTCACCCTGGTCAGGCCGGCTGGGCACCCAGTCCTGAGCATGCTGTGTCTCTGCAGTGAGGGTGGGAGTGGGGAACCGCCTAGTGGTTCCCAGGGAGGGCACCAGCGAAAGCTCGTGCACTGGGCTTGGCTCCAGGAGGCGTTTCCTATGAAGCCACCCAGGACCGGGACCTTGAGCCCATTTTTCAGACGAGGAAGATGAAGGTGGGAGCAGCACAGCCACCTAATTTCCAAGTCCTTGGAGGTGCAGCCCTTTGCCTGCCAGGACTCAAGGTCATGTCCCACGCCCTAGGGAGACACTGGCCTTGTGCACCCTGCAAGTCAGGACAGTGAGGGCCGTTATTATAATCTGAAGGATTTCCAACCTGTCAGACTCTTCCCACACAGTGGGTGAGGACTGTTAGGTGTTGGCAGGGAGAACACACCTTGCCAGGCAGGTGACAAGCCAGACATCCTTTGAGATGCACACCCAGGGCCAGCTTCCCATCAGTCCTGGTAATGAGACTCCCACTTACTCTGTCCCATTTCCTGGCTGACACTTGGACTCACCTCGCTGGGTCCTCTTAGATATTTTAGAGAGGGGTAACCAAGGGTTTGGGGGCTCAACCCAGTAAACCCTCCACCCCCGGTGTTCCTTCCCTCTTGTGTAGGCGTGGAAGGATGCTGGTCTCCCGCTCTCAACCACAAGCAATGAAGCCTGCAAGCTGTTTGATGCCACCCTGACCCAGGTACACCCACCAAGAGACTCGTGTCCTCCTTGAAGGGTTCTGAGGAGGAATTTCGATTGGCGAATGGTCTGTAAATCCCATCACAGTAAAGATCTGCGCTTTACCACCGAGATTCAACAACACAGGAAGTGTCTCCTCCAGCCCCAGTAACCCTTATCCCAAGATCCCCAGTTCCAGGGTAGATAGCAATGGATGACAACAGGGGTCTGAAAATACTCAGCCTCCACGGGTGTCCCACTGTGGCCTGCTGGGGTTTGTTGTGAGCTCTGCCATGAAGACATGGGGTCCAGTCCTGAGGCTCATCTCCAGTTAGCTGGACCAAGACCTTCCACCCATTCCCAGGCTTCTCCACACCAGTGAAGAATCCTGTAGTTCAGGGACTTGGGGGCTTCTGGGAGAGGGGACAAGGTCTCAGAAGGAAGGTTAAGTGGCTTTTTTTTTCTAGGTGGGATAATGGAGGCTCAGAGAATTGAGCTGTCTTGAGTCAAATGTCACCCAGTCCATCGGAGGCAGAGCCAGGGTACACCTGAGTCTGCAGACAGATAGAAACAAAAGCTGGCTTTTCCATCTCTGGTCTTTGTGTCTCTAACTATAATGACCACGGGCCACGGTCTTTGTGTTTGTTTGGGTCTCACACTGTAGCCCAGACTGGCCGGGAACTCAGCAAGCGTCCTGACTCAGTCCCCCTGTTGTTGGCATTATGGATGTGAGCCACCATGCTGGGCTTACATGGTTATTTTCAAGAGAAATGAAGCAGGAATTGTGTTAGTGACTCCAGGGCTCTTCTTGGCGTGGAAGAAAGGGACATGCTGTACCTCATTTCTTGGAAAGGACCTTTTTTCCCCACAGTTCTTTTCTGGCAGTGGGCATTCCTGCCCTAGGAGGTGTCTCCTAATCCTGCATATTCAATCTCATCCTAGAAGGCCAATTAAGTTATACCTTCTTTGAATTAGAGTCCAGAAAATGCTCAGTGTTCTAGAAAGAAAAATAATTCAGATCTGGGACTCCTGAATACATAGAGCTTACGTGAGACCCTGAGTTTGATAGTCAGCACCCCTGACAAAAAAAATCAGAGTTTAGATACACCAGTTCACTGATACTGTCTAGGGCTCCATGAGGACAGACTTGTTTTTTGTTTTTGTTTTTTTTATTTCTCACTCCAGTTTATCAAGTGGACCAATGACAAGACTCTTGGTGGCATTGAGGGCTGCCTGTCAAAGCTCAAGGCAGCAGATCCAACCTTTGGTGAGTAAAGCTCTCCCTAGGGAAAGGAGCTCCGTTCACACGCCCTGACTCTAGGGACTCATGTGGTTGGAGGGACACAGTGACTGGGCTGACACTTGCACAGAGGAGGGATGATGACAGCTACTTGTTTGGAATAACGGCTGCTCCCATGAGGATGCCATTTCCTCAGAAGGTTCTAGATCTTTTCTCTAACTATCATCAGTTTGACAGAAGACATCGTCCCCACTTCTTAGATGGGGAAACTTGGGCTCAGTGAAAGAGACACCAACCTGAGTCTAGCCGGCTAGAAAGCCTAGAATCCTAGAACACTAGAGATGGCTCCTGAGACTTTTGTCAGGGATCTCAGGACTCGGGACATCTCCCGAGCCACCAGAGCTGGGTGGAGATGGAAGACAGAACCTGGCTCATGGGCAAGCCTTGTGTGTAGTGGGGCTGGGAGAGGTCAATTCAGAACATTTCAGAATCCAAGAGGGGTAGCCCAAGTGTGGGGTGAGGTTCCTGGCATTTGAGAAGACTTATAAAATGAAGATGAAGATGGCTGTTAGGGACATTCTTTTCTTTCTTTCTTTTTTTCATTTCTTTACTTTTTTTTTTTTTTAAGATTTATTTATTATGTTCTGTCTGAATGTACCTCTGCCTGCCAGAAGAGGGCACCAGATCTCATTATAGATGGTTGTGAGCCACCTTGTGGTTGCCAGGAACTGAACTCAAGCCTCTGGAAGAGCAGCCAGTGCTCTTAATCTCTGAGCCATCCCTCCAGCCCAGAGACATTCTTAATACATGCAGCAGCCTAGCTAAAGCCAGGGGCTCTATTAACCTGGCAGGGACAGAATTAGAAGACCCAGAGAAATGCAGCCCTAGGGACAGCTAGTGGTCAGAGGGACTCAGGCTATAAGCAGGGTCCAATAGCTGGGCTGGGGGTGGGTATCCTAGCACTATGGTTCTTATCTCCAGGCCAGTGTCCTTGATTGAGTTCCTCCAATCAGGGGACACCCTGTCTTTCTGAAGAATGGGCTGGGAAGCATGGGTAGGCCTGGACCTCACACCTTCAGTTAGGACCACCCATCCCATCATCACGTGTGAGGACAGGGAAATGGGATCACAGTCTGTGCCCCAGGGCCTCATTGATTCAGCTCCCTGAATGGCATCCACTGAGCACCCCAAGAGGTTTGGACTGGTATTAGCAATAATACCAACCAGTGAACTGGATCACAGCTTCTGCCAGGCTCATGAGGGCAGAGGGAAGTACTTCAGACATCGGGGTTCAAGAGAAGCCCAGGTAAAGAAATAACCTCGGATACTTAGAAGATGCCTCTGCCCCCTCTGCCTTCTGAAGCCAGAGCTGAGATCCAGGTTTTGATAGGGGCCTCACACACAGTGAACCTGTACCCAGTGTGGCTCACACCTTCTAGAATGTGGGGCTGGACTAGGCTGAGTGACCAGCTGTTTTCCAATCTTCTGCCAGCCATGGGTCATGCCATCTCTAACGGCCTTGTGCTCATTGGCACGGGAAGTTCCGTGAAGCTGGACAAGGAGCTGGACCGGGCTGTGAAGACGATGGTGGAGATCTCCAAAACCCAGACTCTGACGTCTCGGGAGCAGCTGCATGTGTCTGCAGTGGAGACGTTTGCCAAGGGGTGAGGAGCCTCCCTGGGCTCGGGGGTTGGGACACTAAGCTTGTGCAAGGTGATGCCTCAGAGGTTGAGAGTCTGACCAGCCTGCTCTGCCCCAAACTGCATGCTGAATGAAGAAGTATTTAGCAAGGATTTCCAGTTTATGGTTCATAAAAAGCTATGGTTCATTCACATGGTTATTATGTTAATCACCACATCTAGGAGAGAAAAGGAAACAATTGACCCTTTTGCTTCTTGCCCTGAAGGCTGTGTTTGTCAGCTGTCTGTTGTAACAAAATACCTGAGACAATACATTTATCAAGAAGAAAGGTTTATTTTGGCATATGGCTTGGGAGGCTTCAGTCCTTGGGCACTTACCCTACTGGACTTACTTCTTGGAAGTAATAGGTAGTAGAGGAGGCTGCTCACCTCATAGCAGCCAGTGAAGTCAAGACGGGACTGAGGTCCTGATGTTCCCTCCAAGGGCATGCTTCCAGGGACCTAACTGAACATCACTGGGCCCAAACTCTAGAAGGGCGCCCTACTTCCCAACAGCACCACAGGCCGAGACACCCAGCTCACCACATGCAGGTCTTTAGGGTTTGTTCAGGATTCCAACACTGTGTGCCCCAGCTCCATACCTTCCAGATGGTTCCCTGTCTCCATTCCCACAGTCCTCCAGGGCAGTCCCATTGCTTAGACAGGTGAGATGTACTTAGAACAGATACCTAAAGCTGATTGTAGAGTTGCAGGGGCTTAGTCCAAGAAAGTCCCACCAGTTTCTAAGGACTCAGTGTAGATGTGGGGTTCTTGAGTGCCTTGTAGTGTTGGTGCAAATTGTCCTTGACAGTTGGTTAAGTCTCCCCGGGCTGAACCATGGTTCAGCTGTTAGGGTGCTTGTGACACAGGTTTAAGGATCTGAGTTCAGATGCCCAGCACCCAGGCAATAAGCCAGGCATGGTGATGTGTATTGTAGCCTTGGGAAGGTGGAAACAGACAGATCCCTGGCGCTTATTGGTCTACCTACCAGTCTGGCTGAATTGGTAAGGTCCAGGTTCAATGAGAGACTATGGAAATGAGGAGAGATCACTTGAAGGGGACACCAGATGTTGACCTCTGGCCTGCCCATGCATGCATGCACACACTCATGCGTGCTTACACACACACACACACACACACACACACACACACACACA